AACTCATATTTAAAACTATTCATTTCTGACCTTATAACAGTGTACTCCATAGTAACACTCCTATCTTCTTTTTGTTCCTTGGCCTTCACAGCATTCATAAAGAACTGAAGTCTATGGCAAATATTAAAACATTACACACCTGCAATAAATTATCCCTGTTACTACTGGATTAAGCAATATTCAGATACTACATGGAATCATGCATCTTGCCTCCAGAACTTTTTTTTGTCCTAACATCTCATCACACCTCATACACTGGCGATACTTACTTAAATCCCTCTGTAATTCTAACTTTCTCTATAACTTCTCTATCACTGTCAAGAGGGACTTAATTCTGGCCCTCTCACTTCTTCATAGCGCCATTACCTAAACCTCTCAGCTATGAGATAGCTGACAATTTTCAACTGTGTTTCTGATACTAGCACCAAGACCTACATCTGGCGATCTTGATTTCTCTATGTCTGTGAACACTCCAAGATAACACCCAAACTCCTTGCTTGTTACTCAAGCCTTTCACCAGCATTTTGAACTTGACCTTGCTTATGCCCCTGTCTGGCCAAACCTAGATACTTTCATATCAGCTCCATGGATCTTCTCATTTTAAAATGCCAAACTTTTATACTTACAAAAATTTACATGCATGGGTCTCTTCATTTATAGTACATTTTTAAAAAAACTTTTGTTTATTTAATTGGTACAGGGTCTCACTACACAGCTTGGATTTGTAGTGATTCTCCAAGTCTCAGCCTCTCCAGCACTGGCATTGTAGGTGCATGCCACCATTCCTGGTTTGGGGGCAAGTCACACCCAGGGTGCTGGGGCCTGCACAGTATATGATACTGGGGATCAAACCCAGGTCCTTGTGCTTGCTAGGCAGGTGCTTAGACCACTGAGCTATCTTCCAAGCCTATAATACTTCTGGTATGTGGCCAAAAAATTGATCATTTGAGATCCTTTTTGTCTCAGGAATCTACCTATAAAGTTCTTCCTAAACTCTCCAAAGAGAATATTTCTGTCAATTTTATAACACTGTACACATATTTATGGCATTGAACATGTTGTATTATTATCTCTGTATATGTCTTCTCCATTAGATGATCAGTTCTATACTGAAAATGTATCTCTTCATAACATTGACTTCCCCACCTTCTCCAACACTTTCCCCTGAAATAGCTGCACAGGATAAGCAATGTGTGCCCTTCCTTATGTGTGTGGATACACATGTATTTTTAATGAATGAACGAATGTAGAAACAAAAAGTATTGTTGGTTATGATCATTGTTGACATTTAATTTTTTAAAGGGGGGATACAGAACAGGGCGTGGGACTTGCTTCTTTACATCAGAGGGCAAAAAGAAAGAGGAAAGACTTGTTGGTCAGAAAAACATGTTGATGAAGCAGAAAAAGGTACACATTTATTTAACAACTTAAGTGACAAAATGTTTCTACCCTCATGAGAAAATCATGGAAACACATTTACTGTGATTAGAATTAGAACTTCCACTTCAAAAGTAAGAGCCAAGATTCCTAAGGCTTCATGGCAAAAGCATGCAAATTCTTTCTACCAGTAAACTGGACAAAGCTAGTGTCTCAGTTACTTTTCTCTTGCTGCTGGGACAAAAATACCTAACACCCAGAATTAAGGAAGGAAAGGTTTATTTAGCTCACAGTTGGTGGAGATTCCAGTCCATACTCTGCTGACTCCAAGGCACAGTGGCACATGGCAGAGGGCAGCAGCTCGTGGCAGTGGAAAACAGCAAAGAGGGAGGAGCAATGGCTGTGGCAGCTAGCAAGCCTCTCTCGCTTCCTCATATTGTCTTCAGGCTATCCACCCCAGGGTGGGTGTAGCACCCATACCCATAATCCCAGCACTGGATCTTGAATTAATCACAAACTATAGAAGCCCACCCCAATGACTACATGACACTTTAGGGAGGCAACTAACACAAACCATAACACCGAGTGTCCTCTCTGAGCCTCAGTCTTCTCTGTAAGCTGACAGTGCTGGGGTCCAGGACTGCTAAGATAGTCTGCTGCCCAAGCTACACTCTTCAAGTGACACTGTGCCCAGTGTCCAGAGTTGGCAGGGTGGATTCTTTCCCTCCACCACATTAAATTACAGAATAATAAGGACAATGGGTTTCTTAGGAACAATAAAGAAAAATGTACAAGTGAGACATAGAAACTGCTAACCATTAATAACAAAATAAGCATAATGTTCGACCTTATGTTTGCCAAGACAAAAGAATATCGGAGGTTAATTGCTGTTATACACATTAAGTTTAAAGACTCATGCTAAGGTTCCCTACACTTCATGAGTGTGAATGCTCTTCTTCATTCTTAAGCCAAAAGAGGTGCTTTTCCTAATTAAATCCCCTAGATTCCCTTAAAGAGTTTAAATTTTACTGAACCACTGTGAAGAGCAACTGTGTTTAATTCAAATCCTGGCCGTCAAGGGGTAGTTTGGAGAATAAGCAGCATTAAACAAAAAACTCACCTCCGTGGCTCAATAGGTATCCTTCCTGGAGTATAAATGTATAATCCAAGTGGTTCCCACCCTGGCTGCACATGAGGAACATTTTCTAAAAATATCACACTAGAGTCTACCACAGACCAATTATAGTCAGAATGTCTAGAGGAGAGGAAGGGGACTGAACATATTTAAGAGCCTCCTAGGTGATTTCAATGTAGGTAGGGTGTAGATTGCAGTCAGAGAAATGTACTATAAATTAAATTCTCTGGAAAGAGCTATATTATTTTTAAGATGAGTTACGTTGTATTTTTAAAATTCTAGACCAAACAAAATGAAATAATTTAAAACACCTCTAACTGGGGATGAAGTGCAGATCAGTGGGAGAGCACTTGCCTAGCATGGGCAAGACCTTGGATTTGAAGCCCACCTCCAACAAACCAAACCAAACAAAACAGAACCACTTACAGAAATTACAGAACCACATCTTGAAATATATTCAGGCAACATTACAACTTCAAAGTAATTTAAATATCCAAAGCTTTAGTGCCATGTACAACAATATATTCCTATAACAGGAGTGGAGAATAAATTTTTATCATTTGAGAACTAATCCTTAATATATTCTTAGTCAAAAGAATCAGGCTAAAAAACCAAAACGTAACATTTACACAAAACCACTGAAAAGAAACACAGTATATTGATGCAGACAAAAGCCTGGAGACAATAAAGCACAATATGAATAGTATTTACCTTCTGATGTGTGGTCTTTATAAAAATGCAAAAGCACTGTTCTCTGTTACCAAGAACTAAGCCACAGGACACTGCATAACCTATGTCCTAATTAGTCTACTTTTCCCTTCTTTCTTTATTTCTGTAGGCTTCATTTCTATATTTATGGATGACTTTCAATCGCAAGGAAGTCACTATGAACTCTCAAATACATTTTCTGGGGGAAAAATCTTAAGTTATTTTGGTATTCTATATTATTTTCAAATCTAATTGATTAATATACTCACTGAGAAGTGAATTTAAGTTTAAAATCTAATTCATTGAATGTTTGTTATTGTAAGGTTGCTCAAATATAATTCTGATAATAAATCCAGAATTTGAATTATAAAATAGAAAAATTTTATTCCTGGCCTTCAAGTTCACTTTTATATTAAAATACCAAATAATATTTCAATTGCAAAGAGAATACCAAAAAAATGATATACATATACTTACCTAGAAACATCTATGAAAAGATGTTTCTAAAATACTTCTAAAGTACCTCATAATTTACATGCCATCGTTCATAAATGCTCATTTGTAATTCTAATTTTATCTACGATCCCCTAGAAATACTACAAAGTACCACTGAGGGAATTTGAGGATACTGAAGATGATATTTTAACCCCTTTATTTTACAATAAAGGTTACTTTGTTATGCAAAGAGTTACTAGAAAATCTGGAACTTGAATGTAGTTTTTGGCATTTAAGGCAGAAGCTATTTTAAGTATGTCACTTACAAAGGTGAGATTTACACATTAGTCTACAAAAAGCTATCTGGCCCACAACTGGCTTAAATGTTTCACAATGAACGAATGGTAGAGAACAATAGCCTTGCGGTAGTAATTGTTAAAATAATTCAAAGTTATCATATAAGAGAAAAGGTTTTAAAAAAAACGTAATGAGTTTGGGGCTAAATAAGTTAAAGGCAGATAGCAATGGCCATCAGTATTCTGCAAGGACTCAGAAAATTTACAGGCTCCTCCTAGGCTCTGGGGCTTAGCTTTTACCATATCTAAGTTTACCAAACAACTTAGGTCTTTTCCATAGGAGGAAGGACCTTTAATATGGCTCGAGATGGTCTAATTAAGATGGAATGGGGCTTCTACTTAATCCCAACTCTTTATACTAAATTAAGATTTGTAAATCTCCCTGAAAATACTACAAAGAACATTTTCTATATTAGAGGTAGATGCAACTCATGAGGATACTATAGCTTCTTGAAACAGAATTTTATAATAATTCCACATTTTCCCCTCACTTCATAAAATTGCCTTAATTTTTAATATTTTCCCCAAAGCCAAAGGTGATTAGCTGGTTTTCCACAATGCCAGTTGTCCGCCTCTTTACTGTCCGGTGTGAGCACTCCTGCTGGGATCTCACCCCTTTTTCTGTTGTCCTTTTCTAAGCAGATTTGAGAATGTAAATGGAATTAACTCTCTTGCAACTGTTCAGATGCTTCTCACACTAAGATAGTTGTTCTGCCAGTAGGACATGGGTTCTTAGAAATGTCAAGGTCTCAGAGTTAACTCAGAGAAGCAACCACTTAGCTATTTTACATCTTCATACCAAAACAACAGGTTTTCTGTATTTAATTGGTGCTGGATCAGCAATACTTCATAAAGGCAGCATAGAGAAGGGAAAGAAAACATTTTATCACTTTAAGTTGAAGGCATAGAATGACTTGGAAAGATTTGTGAGCATTTAAAGCTTCTTCAAACTTCATTAAAGTTGATTTGATGAGCAGCACTGTACATACCCTGAGTAGCTGTTGGAGGTAGCTTGAGGGTATTGTCTAACTTCTCCCAAAGGTAAGTTGGCCGGGGGATGCCTTCCTCTGAGCTGCAGAGCAGGATCACATCACTGCCAATGTCCTGGGATCCTTGAATTTGGCAGTGTGGGGCAGAAGGGGGAACTAGAATAGGAAAAGAAGGCATAATGTATACATTTACTCTGAGAGAAGGGATAAAGGGGCAGATCAATACTCAGCCCCCTGGGACCTCGATACAGATTTGGGACCACACAGGAGACAAATGTACAGCTAACGCCAAAGGCCAACCATGCACTAAGTGCTGGGCTTGGGAAGGTGCACAGGGCCTTCCACTTTAGTTTGCAAGAGCAAATATGTAGAACTACATATGTGCATTGTATTTTCAGGATATCATATGGTCTTGGGTTCACTCTGCTTCTTCTGAAAAAAAAAAAATCCTAAGATCCTTCATGCAACATGCTGCCTTTAAAACCACTGTTGGAAATCCGCTTAGAGACACTTTCAAGGAACAGAAGCCCCAACTTTCCAGTTGGCCTCTGGCTAAGACCACCTTAGCAAGGCTTTCATCACTTACAAGCAAAAACACTGGTGGGCACACTTTATGTTAAATTCTGTTTCAAGGCAGGGAAAGTTGGAGTAATGTTCACTGAGAATAAGGGTGATAGTAATGCACTGGACATTCCCATCCTGCAATGTGTTTTCTTATGAGACATTATAATCATTTGGATAGATAAAAACACAAAAACAAGGAAAATGAATACCAGGAAAGAACACTAGCAAGAAAGGTAAGTAAGAGGTTACATATGCTCGTAAAAAGCAAGCAACTGGGGCTAGAGTGGTAGCTCAGTGGAATAAGCACCTGTCTGGCAAGTGCAGGGTCCTGAGTTCAATCCAAGTATCACCAAAAAAAAAAAAAGCAAGCAACACAAATGTAAGCCCACAGGCTAAATTCCAATATTGAGAAATGAAGACATTAAGAGTTTAAGTCTTAGTAATGACACTTTCAAATTGCTAGTGACTTTTCAATAAAAGCATTCACCTTTCAAAAATGAATGAAAAATGCATGCAGAATCTTCAGAGGAATTGGGAAAGGGAATGAGTGGGAAAAGAGAATATAATGAATGGTAGGAAAAATAAAACTCTCAGAATCCTAACTTCTGTGATGGGGTAAATAATCTTGATTTACTCTCTTTGACATTGCCAATGTGATACTTTTCAGAAAACTCAAGATAATTCTCTAGAGACCACATTAACTATAAAATAAAGGCTTTTTTGCTTTAACAAATAAAAATAAGTTCAGACACTAGAAGAAACCAGCTACTTTTCTTTTTTTTCTTCATTTTATGTACTTGGTATAGGGTCTCACTATGCAGCTTGGACTCATAGTGAGTGATCCTCCTGTTTTCAGCCTCCCCAGTACTGGGATTACAGGTGTGCACACCATGCCCGCACTTGTTCTGGCTCAGTGTGCCTCGGGGGCTGGGCCAGTGAGGCATGCTGGAAGGGGGATCAAACCTTGGTCCCTGTGCTTGCCAAAGCAGGAGCTTAGTCAGCTGAGCTATCTCGCTGGCCCGGAGCTACCTAACTCAGGTATAGACATCATCAAAATAATTATAATTTTGGTAGTTCTCTGTACCCAATATTCAGAATACTTAAAAATCTATACAATTGTAATATATTATAACGAATAACATTACATTTCTTAGAAAAGTCTTAGAGACCATCTGATAAAGAAAGGAGCAGAAACACTAAGGAGGACAAGAAAGACAAGAGGGAAGTGAGAGAAGACAGGAAGGAACAGGAGCAGACTGTGTAGAAACAAGGGCAGAGGTGAACACGCTTAACCATAGACCCAACCGGGAATTCCAAGGTACACGGAACTGCTCTGTCACTCACCTAACACTGTGAGGCCAGTGACCCCAATGTTCTTGCCCCCTCTGTCTGGAAGGTTATTGACCAAACACTGGTAGGTGCCTGTATCTGACAGCTGTGTGTTATTAATGAAAATGGAGACATTGGTGGCTGGCATTGTGCCTGTAAAGCCTACCCTACCGTGGAACTGGGGAGCACCATCAAACATCTGTCCAGCCTGATAAAAAATGACCTGCAAAAGAAAGCAAAATAAATCAAATGTCCATGGTAACCCTCCTGGACACATAACAACCATTTAGTAGACAGTACTGAATGATCCTGCCTTAAATGTGGGAAAGGCTTGCTTCCAGTTTATGACTCGTGATTATCAGTATCTTGTTATCACACATGTCTATAGGTATCTCAGGGCTTTAAATTCTTACATAGCAAATTAGAATAACAAGTTCCCCTTATCTAACTCATCAAAATGTAGGAAGTGTGTACTGACACTTTACATGAATCCATAAATATTTTACCAATTAAAAAAATACAAAATTAAAAGTTAAAAAAATATTAGTATTTCCACTGTCATGATTACTAGGCCATAAAATGGTACATTATAGTTATAGACTGAATATACATGTGCCATAAAAAGCAGATTTTCAAGCCCATGGTTATTATTCTTTTGTTATTGTTGATTCAGGGTCTCGTTACACAGCTCAGACTTGTAGTGATCCTCCTGTCTCAGCCTTCCCAGTGCTGGGATTATAGGCCTATGCCACCATGCCATTTTGGTAGGCAGCATGGTGTGGGACTGGGAAGGCATTTGGTATTGGGGATCGAACCTGGGTCCTTGCCAAGCATGTGCTTAGACCACTGATCTAGCTCCCTGGCCCATGATGGCTATTCTTATGTCAATGTCTAGTATCAAAGTGACCAGAATGGCATGTAACAAAAAGTCCTTTGAAGTGTGAATATTCTTGAATCTTCTGTAATTGACTCAGTTTACTGGAGATTAGCTTCCATTTTCACGTACATTCTTTTGTGTGGCCCCTTCTAATGTACATGACACTCCAAGTTGCCTAGCATGCCTACTTCTGTTTAAATACTTATGAAATTAACTCAGAACACCATACGTTACTATCTAACATTAATTCTGGTTGCTACTAGTTTTTAAAAATACACACTCATGACCTGTTGAGTGATAAAATAGACCTTGCCTTTTCTGTATTGGTATTTTCCTGACAGCAATGTCTTTTTTTTAATTCTAGTTTTCTGCATAAAACTCTCAGAAGACTCACCTTAGCTTGTCATAATTACAATGCTAAAGATAGCAGTAATAAAAGTCTTTTCTTTTCTTTTTTTTTTTTTTTCAAGGAACTAGGGATTGAATTCAGACTCTTGCGCTTGCCAGGGAAGTGCTTACTCTACCGAGCCATCTCCCTAGCCCCCAATAAGTCTTTCTAAGAAAAGGACAGCCTTTCCTGATAACTGACAATAACACAGGACTTAAAACAGGACAGACAGATAATACTAAAAATGTCACCTTATCCTTGAAATCAAAATGTACTCAGGATACTTTCCTACCCACCTCTTAAAAAAAGAATTATTTCAGAGGCAGCATAAGACACAAAGTACCTGTTCAGGTTGGTGAGCATTGGAAAGAGGAATGACCATCCAAACAACATTGAGGTTAAGGAGGGCAGCGCTGGTAGAAAAAGTGCAGGGCAGGACTGCTGTTTGGCCCCGGGCCACCTGGATGCTCCCAGGGCTCTCTGAAATTTCCAAGGACACTGCAACACCTATGGAAGAAGGAACATGGAGGTTATGTGCTCACCTCTTCCTAAGAGTCTAAAACCTCTCAGAGAGGACTGCATGTTTTACATGATCATATCACTCTTGTAATGGGAACAACTGACTTGACGCTTTACTAAACCATGGTTGACTGTCACTGGCTCAAATAATAAAAGCGGCCCATCCCTTCATCTCTTGGAAACCTTAATTAGAAATATTTGAGCCAGATGTGGTGGCACATGAGTGAGATCCCAACTATTCCAGAGAATAAGTCAAGAGAATCACAAGTACCAGGCAGCCTAGGAAGATAAACATAAACTTGTCTCAAAAAATTTTTTTAAATGGACTGGGGATATATCTCAGATGTAAATTGTTTGATTAGCAGGCACAGGACCCCAGAATCAACCCCAAGTACTTCAGGAAAAATAAAGTAAAACAAAATGAGAGCCGTTTATTCTCTAAGACTCTATGCAACATCTGGCTAGATTCAAAAACAAAAACAACATGAGAGAATGTTACCAGCAAGGTTTGCACACCAGTTATAAATGCTGATGAAAGATGAAAATAAACTGAATTTTTAAAGTATCATTATAATAGCCATCCATAAATTAAATGCTTATACACAAATCTAACAAAATGTGTAGTGTCTATGTGCCAAAAACTATATATAAAACACTGAAGAAGGAAATCAATAAAACTAAATAAACAATGTCATAAATTAAAGAATCTGATGCTGTGAAAAGCCTAATTTTCCCCTTGACTGACAGATTTAGAATAACTTCAATCAAGATCTCAATAGACTTTTTGCACATATTGAAAATAATTCTAAAATATATAGAAAGAAAGGTAAAGAACTTGATCAACTAAAATCATACTGAAAAGAAGAACAAGAATGGTGAATTCACCATATATGATCTTTTTTCATTAATTTTATTGAGAAAAAATTGCAATGTGACAGCTTCAAAACAGGTTGGTAGGAGAGTTGCAACAATTAATACATTGCATATTGTTGTCTTTGTAGTAGTCATTCATAGCACAAGATGCAGACATGATATCCTGTCCAAACACTACTAGTACAGATCTTTCTTCTTATTGAATTAAGAGAAAATAGCTATATATCTATCCTAACTATTTTGTATATAAAGATACAAAATTGTCCTTCATTTATATCACCTTTTTCTGTTCAGTTTTGTCAGAGATGGGTATTCCATTAACATCCAAATATTCTAGGTGCATGAATTCGGCAAAATATTTCAATATAGTCCAGTACTCCACAATAGTAGTGGGCTATCCACAGAATTGGCAATGTCCAAATCTGATGACTTGAGCCTTCCACAGCTCAGCATATTAACATGGCTTCACTTTTCATACCTCATTTCTACACTTTTCTGCTGGATGGTTAAGACCAAGATAAAGCAAGACCTATATAACAAAAAATGTAACTTTTCTATCTGACACAGTCAGTCAAGACTTCTCAGGACTTATCCCAAAACCCTGCACCGCACTTTGTAGATCCTTTGTCAGCATCAGCCATGTGGACGAGTCATGGCCATTGCTTGGCCAATCTGTTCTCTGTGAAAGCCTGAGAGAATGTTTTCTCTCTATGCGACTCTCCTTAGGCACACCCTACAACGTTGATCACTTTCCTCTGTGGCCCCATAATCTCCTTGATCAGAAAATTTGGGTCACAACTGAGTTACATGATGTTACAGTACAGGTTCTCCTATGTCCTGAGTCCTCACTGACCTTGAAAGGCTATAATCTTAAAACATGTTGTCTAGCCATAGTAATCAAAACAATATGGCAGTAGCATGAAAGAAGACATACAAAGAAAAACCACAAGATTAAGACCAGTGAAACTTGGGTTGATGGTCAATTGCTTTTCCACAAAGGTTACAAGACAACTAAATGGGAGAAAAGACAGATTTTTTTACAAGAGGTGCTACAACAATTTGATAATATTATGTAAAAAGATAAAAAAAATTTGGACCCAAATCTGCAATAACACTCAAGAGTCAACTCGGAATGTTCATAGACCTAAATAAAAGAACTAAAACTCTAAAAGTCTACAAATAAATACAGAAGAAAATCTTAGTTACTATGAATTAGGCAGAGATCTTTTGATACGTGAACATCATAAATTAATAAATTTTATCTTAAAATTAAAAATTTTTATTTTTATACATTTTAATGAGAAAAAAATAAAATAGCAATGAAATAGTTTCAAAACACATGAGTAAGACAGTTACAACAATTAATACATTGCATATTGTTGTCTTCATCGTAGTTATTCAGAAGACAAGATGCAGACATGATATCTTGTCTAAACAATATTAGTACAAACTTTTCTTCTCATTTCATAGGGAAAAAATATATATGAATATATAAGATAGTTAGGATAGATACACACCTACTTTCTCTTTTTTTCAATTTTGTGCTTCAAAAGATCTTTTAAAAAGGCCAGCGAGATAGCTCAGCAGACTAAGCAACTGCTTAGGCAAGTGCAGGGACTAGGGTTTGATCCCCAGTACCGCATGCTACGCCAGTCCCACTCCCTAGCACACTGAGCTGGCCAATACCGGGCATGGTGGTACATGCCTATAATCTCAGCACTGGGAAGGCTGAAAACAGGAGGATCACTACGAGTCTGAACTGTATAGTGAGACCCTGTACCAAATTTAAAAAAAAAAAGATTTAAGAAAATAAAAAGTCACTGGGCTGGAGAGATGGCTCAGTGGTCTAGGGCACCTACTTAGAACAAGCTTGGCAGAGCAGAGGGACCATGGTTCAATCCCCCGGCACCACATGCCAGCCAGCCCCGCCCCCTGGTGGGCTGAGCTGGCCACACACACACACACACACACACACATAAAAATTAAAAGAAAAGAAAATTAAAAGTCAAATCATATATGGGGAGAAAATATAAATCATGTATATGATAAAAACTTATACTCCACATAGATAAAGAACCATAATAATTCAATTAAAAAGACAGATTAATTTAAAAGGGGTATGTATTTCAAAACCACAATACCACTGCACATCCAGTGGGGTGGCAACTGTCAACGTTTCAAGTGCTAATGAGAATGAAGAGAGACTGGCACCTCATACTTTGCTGGTAGAAACATAACACAGTACACTCACTATGGAAAATAGCTGTAGTCTTTTTTTTAAAGTTTGCATAAATATACCACACAATTTAGCAACACTATTTCCTAGGAATCCACTCAAGTAAAATAAAAATATATGTCTTCAAAAAGACATGAATGTTTATGGCAGCATTATCCAGCTCACACTCAAAGTGCAAATAATAGCAACATCCATCAACTGGCAAATGGATAAATAAAATGTGGTAGGTCCATAAAATTGAATGCTGGTCAGAAACAAAAAGCATCCAACTACTGATACATTACTACATGGATAAACCTCTCAGAAATATGTTGCTAAATGAACAAAGTCAGATCTGTATTAATCAAATGGAACTAATAGATGGGACCAAATACCTAACATACACAACTTAAATAAACATAACAGCTTATTTCTGCTCACGGTTTCAGGGAATTCCAATTCCGGCCAGCTGGCTCCCAGGCAGAAACATCACAGTAGAGAGATGTAGCCGAGACAAGCTGCTTAGCCCGCGGCAGCCAGAGCATGGGGGAGCAGCACCAGAGAGGAGTGGACCAGGGCCCTGGGACAGTTCCAAGGGTCGCACATCAAGAGCCGCCCACACTAACCCTGTACTCAGTTCCCACACCAAGGTAACTATCACAAGATTTACACCACCACGGTGTGTGATTTCACATAGGAAAAGCAAACCTGTAAAAATAGGAAGTAGATTGCTGCTGTCTGGAGCTAAAAGGGAAGAGCAGAGATTGACACAAACAGACTCAGTGGGAGGTTTTAGGGTGATGGATATTTTCAAAAATCAGATTATTGATTGTACAATTGTACAACTGTAAGTTTAGTAGAACTTTTGCTGACTCTCAAATTTTGAAACATAAATTATATCTCAGTAATACTGTTAGAATTTAAATAAAATAGTGGCACACCAGGGCCAACTCCTGGGAAGTGAAAATCAATGGTTACCTGTTTTGCAAATATTGTCTGCCTCCCATCATGAACCAAATGGAAGTAAGAGAAGCCTAAGAAAGGTGATCAGGGAGACTGCGCAAAACAGCTGTTCTGAGTCAGGAAAAATATGCAGTCCATGGTACAGTCTCACAATGCTTTATTCTGAAGTGACAATATTTCAATTTTTCAAAAAAATGTAAGACTATAGCACACTATCATGGCTACAAGTAGTTTTTAAATTGTACATAACACCTTCCTTCTATGGAACTTTATGTTCTTGACACACAGCCTGTAGATGGTTTCCAGGAGCTAAATTTCCAGAATAGAATATTTCATCAAAGAGAGGGAAAGTGGATATAATAAAAGCACAACTTATGCATGTATGGAAATGTCACAATAAAGTAAATGTTTATCATGAAAAAAACAAGCCATCTGTGACAAAACATAAAGCACTTGACAACATAGAAAAAGTCTCTAAGTTATGTAACATTAGAAGAAGGCTCTATATTTTAAAAAGGAAGTTGAAAGAACTTCAAGGGTTAGAGGAAGAAAAAGAAGGTTATTCGATGTAGCAGGCAATTACTTCTTGCCCTCTGGTTACAATCAAGTGATATAGCAGGCAATAAACAGCAGAGCACAAGTGGTTTATGGAAGTATCTATGTTACAATGGTCAGATGTTTATAATAAATGCCACTTTGCTGATATGCTTTCAAGAATAGGTGTGGGCGTTGAGGAGATAGCTCGGATGTCTAAACATCTGCCTGGCAAGCACAAGGACCGGGTTTGATCCCTGGTACCACATGTTGTGCCCACCCCAGAACGCCTAGAGCACAATTCTAGCCCCAAAACCAGGTGTGGTGGTGCACACCTGTAATCCCAGCACTGGAGAGGCTGAGACAGGAGGATCACTATGAGTCTGAACTGTGTAGCAAAACC